TGATCGTAGCTTTCATATGATATATAGTTTGCTGTGTGAATCGTCTGCGGAGTAGAGAAAAAAATCAGATACCCTCTCAGCCTATTTATGAAAAATACCACTGTAAAAGAGAACCACAGTCCAAACATCCAGACGGGTCGAAACCCACGGAAACCGCCCAGAGCGTCCCCGCAGAGGTTCTCCTCCCTCTGATTGTACAAAGAAAAATTAAAAATAAAAAATTATCTCGGAGCCTGGATCTATCGCCCGTAGGTAGCAACAGCCCCAACAGGCCATACTGCCTACTGGCACATATCACGGGATGCCCAAGAGACGCTAGGCCTCAGACGAGCAAGAGGACACGACCACACACAACGCCCCGCACTTAGGGAGTGCTCGTCTCTCTCTGTGTGTCTATCCGCGTGTGGTGGTGGTGGTGCTGCTGGTGTCGTTCGTGTGGTGCTGCTGCTGCTGTTGTTGTTGTGCTGTGCTGCTGCTGCAAGCAATTGTTGCTGTAGATTTTGTGAACTACATACATACAGCAGTATCCTTTGGTAGATATCACCTGCTGCACGATGCTGCCGTCCGGGATGTCAGTCATCATGGGGCCGTCAAAATCTGTAGGCATCGTTTAGTTCGCACACCGCAGGCCCGCTCAACAAACTCGAGACGCGGCTCACACGATTTGCTTCGCAGAGCACACAGGTCGACAAGCACAGATAGACGCAGAAAAAAAAAACAGAAAAAACAGAAAAAACAACATACAAGAGCGATTTGATGATAGACTGACCCGCACCAAAAAAAGAAAGGACCTGGAGATGACCCCAACACGGCAAAAAAAGGGGGCGGACGAAGAAAGAAAGAAAGAAAAGAGAAGGAAACGGAACGCAAGAAATAAAACAGGACAGGAACCAGATGGTCCCATCGAACGCTACACCGCAACAACAACCAAATAGTCTAGACATACAAACACCAAAACGACAACATCACAGACGGCGATCGGCGCANAAGGGGGCGGACGAAGAAAGAAAGAAAGAAAAGAGAAGGAAACGGAACGCAAGAAATAAAACAGGACAGGAACCAGATGGTCCCATCGAACGCTACACCGCAACAACCAAATAGACATACAAACACCAAAACGACAACATCACAGACGGCGATCGGCGCAAAAACGCGGAAGCGAAAAATAAACAACACACCGAGCCTTGACGTGCCGCCGGGGGGGGACAAAACATCGTTCAGGCATATACCCCGGTGACGTCGTAAACCTAGGGCCGCGTACCGCTACTGACGTACCCCGAGTATGCAACACCGAAACCAGAGTTGGGACTCAGAAGTCGCGGCTCTCTTGCTACCCCCTCTTGTGTATCTTTCTGCAGCGCCGGGTCGTCTTTTGTTACTTGTCCTAGCGGGCAGGCGAAGAGTCCCAGGGTTGGCCATGAAGACAGCCGCCCCCCGCCCTCCCGTCGTTGTAGTTCCTACCCCGCCTGCTTGCATATTGACCATCGTCAGAAATTGGTCCACGAGGGCTACGGCGACTGTCGGTGAAAAGCGATCAGACAAAATACTCGCGGCTTGCCCGAGCTTCTTCGTTACGTCGGCGTACAACACTTGTCTATCCTGGTCCGTGGGCCCCTTCTCCTTCAAGTCCAACAGGACCGTCTGCACCGTCTGGCTGCTCCCAACGAAAGACTTCTACCTCCCGCTGCATTCCCCCACCCCCCCTCCCTCTCCCTCTCCCGCCGCCCCGTCCACTTCTCCCGCATTGTGCGGCACTGGCAGAGATGGCTACCGTCGGAAAAGAGCAAGACGAGGTAGTCGAAGGCCTTGCCATCACGCTGCTCGTGAATCCCGAAGACGTTGATGACGTCGCAAAGCTTGCCCTCGATGTACTCGAACGTGCGCCCCAAAGCTGCCGCGCGTTCTGGTCCATCCACCTCCCCACCACCCATCTGGCAAAACATGATGGCCGCGGTCATCTCTTGCTCCATGAACCGCCGCGGCCAGCCCGCGATGGAGAACTCGCAGGACTCGAGCACACTTTTGAAAGCGGTCGCTGGTGGAGCCGCCATCCGATTGGGCGGCAGATGGTCGATGGCGTCACGAAGCATGGCGGCATCCTTCTGGGAACAGATAATGACCGAAAAGTACTTCGCCACGTCCAAAAGCGAGGAGCGCGAGTTGCACTTATCCCTGATGAGGGCGTTTTGGCCTGTTGTGTGTGCGGCGGACCAACACGCAACAAGCGACACACAAACCAAACCGTGGGATAGTGATTGGTGTCATCAGACATCGTCGAAGCCGCAGTACGCCAAACGACTGAAAGAGAAGCCCATGACTTGACGCACCCATCGCCACAGATGTATGTACACGTGAGCCGGACGATCGCAGTGCACCGACCAAGTTCATCAATCCCGAACAACAGGGGCCGGACAACAGCCACATGTTTCGAAGAGGTCGTAAACATCAGCGGCATGTAGGGAGTTGTTTACTGGTCATTCACGGACGGCGTACGATCAATTCGTCAAGATGCACTCACCAATGGCATAGTAAACAGGGGGCAAGGAAGATAGCCGCCCCCAACCCCTACAGACGTTGAAAAACTCCCAAAAACAACGACGACGCTACATGCGCTGTCGTTCTCGAACAAAACGCTCATGGCAGATGACGNCATGTAGGGAGTTGTTTACTGGTCATTCACGGACGGCGTACGATCAATTCGTCAAGATGCACTCACCAATGGCATAGTAAACAGGGGGCAAGGAAGATAGCCGCCCCCAACCCCTACAGACGTTGAAAAACTCCCAAAAACAACGACGACGCTACATGCGCTGTCGTTCTCGAACAAAACGCTCATGGCAGATGATGCATAAACGCACCTTCAACTCTTGATGTCGTCCACGAACCCACGGAGAACACCAGGGGCGACACATATTCCGCCCACCGTGCGCGGTCGTCATGTACCACTCGCATGTACTTCTCCGCCTTCGGGTACTTTTCGATGAGGGCGTTGAACTTCCGTTCGAACTTCGCCAATGACAGCTGCTGATGCACACACCTGAACTCGTCCACGAAAGGCTGTGGAAAACACAAACGACGTAGGCCGGGTGGGTGTTGCGTGAGTTGGGGCCTCGGCAATGAGCTACCGGTCTGTGCGATTGTATGCCACTAACAACCCCGTACACTTCGTCAGCGCTAAGGCGAGACGAGGAGAAGGTTGGAAAAACTCAGCGACAAACCATTGGTGCTTACAACCTGCTGCTGTTGCTGCTGCTGCTGCTGCTGCTTTTTTTGTGTGACTGGACGTCGTGAGGTATGTTTCGGTCGAAGCCGAGGTCGTCTCCGCATCACGGTCTACGCAGAGACGCTGGATATCACTCTTCCAAGTAGACGACAACGCCACTGATCCATGACAACGCACCAACTCGCACAGGGGATACAAGCGGGAGTGGGGGAGGGGGGCTAGAGTAAGCAGCGTACGTCGCGCGACCAGGACAATAAGAGAGGCCAGACTAACCACGCCAACACACACAGTAGAGCGCACCTTCATGTCCCCACCAAGGACTTTGGCGAGGGCCTTGATGATGTTCTGGTTGAGGTGCCATAAACAGCGCCTCGCCAGCGCGTCCGGGAACACCTCTCGCACCGCCGCCGTCATCGCCGCATCCGCGTCCTGGATGGAGATATCCGGCTGCTTCCCCCCGCGAGACTCCAACGCACTCTTCAACATCCACTGGAAAGTGTCCGTTGTGGTGTCCGCCGTTATGCTTTGGCCGACGATCCGCGTCCGATACTCCGAATCGATGACAGCGAGCACACCGAGGGGCATTCGGTATCTGTTCTTGACGGCGGTGTCGTCGTAGAGCGCAACGTGACCGTACCGATTCCAAAGCGCCACCTGCGTGTTCGGAGCATGACGTCGAAGGGGGTCGAGAGCACTTCATTGTGGGTATGACGCGTGTTGGACGCGCCACAACGCACCCCCACCCTTGCCTACGGCCTGCTTTCGGCCAGACGTCCTACATTTGCGGACGGCCACGCGGTACGTGCGAGATGCTAAATGAAAGCAAACCTTACGGCTGGGGAATATTCGTATGGGGCACAACGACCGGCGACCTACCTGCTTAAATAGACTCCAAATAAGCCCAGTACCCAGCCGGTTTCCGTCCATTCACCGTGAAGACTTCAACACATCCCGTTCGACTACTGTGGTCTTATCTCGAATGGGTGGTATTTTCTGTGTTTGTATTTATGTTTCCTAATATATATGTCACGCGAAACGAGGGCATTTCCTAGTGCAACTGAACGCACATCGGTTCCTAGTGCGACTGAACGCTCATCGGAAGGTGAATGGGGGATTGCGACCGAACGCACATCAGAGGGATGGGTGGCTGCTCGCGCGGTGGCCACCGCATCATCAGTCTTTCTTGTGTGTAGCTATTTTCCATCACCAAGCACATTCTCAAAACGGAGACGGAGACGTTCCGGCGGGGGTATGAACGGCATCAGCACAAACAGTGGATGCAAGCGAGGGGCCAGCCGATTTACCCACATGCATCCTACGCTGGGCGACAGCCGCACGAGCGCTCAAACTCGCCAGAAAGGCGAGCACGCCTGCCCCCAGCACGAAGCTCAGGCAGGCGCGTGACCTCCTCTTGTGGATCAGCGGCGCGAGCGCCATCAACATGAGGTGTGTGTAAGGAGCAGCGCGGTCTAATAAGGCCGCAATCTACGCAGCACGATCATCATGCGATGGATTGCGCGACGCCGTTGGCACTCAGGCGCGCCAGGCGCGCCAGGCGGCGGGGTTGGAACCGACTGCTGGGAACCGGCTGAGCTGTCGGACTCGATGTCCTCGCAACCGTCCATACAAAAGGAAGAAGCAACCAAGACCGCGCGTTCTCAACCAGCGGAAGCAAACAAAGACTTGCCCCCACGCTGACTAGACAAAGAAGAAAACAGCAACAAGAAGAGCCTAGGGAAGGCTGAAGTCCTTACTGCCGACACGCCAAATGTTGTGGGATTATTACACGCGTAGCAATCCCTGCAGACCCTGGTGAAGACTCACTTGTTTTTTAACCTCTTGGAATAGCAGTGCTTGCTGTTGCCCTGCTCTCGAAGGTAGACTGAGCACAGAGGGGGAGGACATGACTTCCCTCTAAAAGTGGCCACGAAGGTCCTGTCGTCCTGTCCCCTGTTTTATCCTTGCATCCATCGGGAGTTATATCTCCCGCACTTTGCTCTGGGAATTTCTCCGCAATACCGTCGACACTTGCTACATTTCCAATCCCATAACACGACCCTGATATTCGATTTTTTCCAACATTGTTCGAGAAGCCAAAAAGAGCGATCAAGACAGAAAGTAAAGATAGGAGGCGAACGAACCGGTCAAGAGGACCAAAATAGCGCGCATTGTCGCACACTTCTGGCGCAACATGCAACTTGCTTGCTCGTCGACTCACCGTATGCGCTTTCTTCGTCGTACTATGGATATTGGCACCATGTCGCGTTGGAAACATACAGTACTCGGTCCTCACACACTTTCATTTACGAACTCACCACCTGAAATAATTTTGCTATTGGTTGCTGCCCAGCGGACTTTGTTTGACGACGTTGTTGTTGTTCGAGGAGCTGAAAAGAGCGATCAAGACTGGAAAATAGAGTCGAACCAGTCAAGAAGACCGTAACAGGGCGCATCGTTACACACTTCTGGCGCAACATGTCGCGAGACGTGCGCCATAGGTCGGGATCGATCTTTGAGACATGGTCGGGCAAGGGTGGGGCAATCGGAACATGAGGTGACACAAAATGAATTTACTGCTGTATAGTGGTAGGTCGGAGAGACTGAAGCGTACGGACAAAGAGAAAGGAAGGGTCGTCTCAAGAGGTAACTCCCGAAAATATGTCACGCCCGGAACAACTTGTCGATCGTAAACGGAAGTGAAGAGTGCTCTCTAGACGCATCAGCCGGGAATGAAACCATCAACTATTGCTGTCTATGAGTGTGTTGCTTGTACATCCGGCCAGCGAGAGGAAACAATCGGGCCTGGCCGAAGCAACGAACACCCGTTAAGGGAGGTGAGAATGTCGAACAGAGCTCTCGCACAGCTTAACTGGGGCAACGGTAAATTACGCGCAGGTAGGCTGCGTCTTGTACTGTTCAAAGCCAGGAGCGAAGCAGGCATACCAGCCAGCCATTTCCATGGTCGTAGTCTGCCGCTGCCCGTTCTCACCGTACGAAACGGACCACACTGAATCAATTCAGAGGAGTGGGGCGAGGCTGTGTGCCTCGGTGGGAATAACACGCCGAACCTTCCCTCAAACGATTGTAGCCCGGCCAGCTGACTGAGTCTTCACATCAATTCCATTTGTTTTCACATCCCATCGAAACACGATGAGCCGACCGGACACTCTACCAGGGTAGAGCCATTCACAGCCAAGCCCTTGAACCAGCAGCAGCAGCAGCAGCAGCAGCAGCAGCAACAGCAGCAGCAAAGAAGACCGCCGTGCGGAATACCTTCCGTGACGACACCACCTCCTTGAATGTCAATATACGGTAACGATCGAAGCTAACGCTGCTTCTGTCACTGCGGTTGCAAGGTGAGACACCCCACGCCTGCTCTCATACACCGATCTCAATCTGCTGAACGCCCGATACCGTGATCTCGCCATCCTCCTCAAGAGTATATACCATCATCGCTGCTCCAGAAGCTCCCCGGAGTACCAGTTTAGGTGCGCTCTCAGCTGAAAGGACGGTGGGATGAGCAGCAACGGCAGCGAGGGTTGTCAGGTGTTCAAGATCGTCCATATCGTCGTTATGACCAGGGGCGTGTTGCCAACGTACCGGGGAAAATTGACCGAGGAGTGCAAATGGCACAGAGTGGAGGCAGAGCCATTTTCGCGGTGAGAATGATACGGTAGGTACCCGGCAATGGCACGTGTCTCCAGATAAGACGGCAACCAAACACCACGAAGTGCGGTTTTGGTGCCTCTACAGTATTTCACGGGAACCAAGCATTCCCCGACGTTGAATTCAAAGAGAGGTGGACGTGCTGCATGGTCCAGTCTGCCTAGTTATTCAGACGGCCATGTTCGTCCTGTCCCTTGCGGCTTGGGTGGTGTTACGTTGGCGCTTCCACCGCCGTAAGATTATCTCGCCCACCCAAGCGCGAACGATCGCGCCACCAGCAGTTTCGACTACCTACGGTTACAGCTTCAACACCAACACGGCCTACCCCACTACATTAAGAGAGAAAGGCATGCGGTGCCCGCCGTGTTCCTATTGGTCAATATTGGCGCCACCTTTTTCTGATTGGCAATCTTTCCTTGGGCGGCGAGAGCATCCTATCAAACGACGTCGTTTCCAAGGCGATCGACCGAAAAGCTTCAATCATCACCAGAGTTCAACTGCGTGTGTCTCTACCTCCTCCGCACGCTCTCTCTCTCTCTCTCCCCCCCCCCCTTCCTCT